TCGATCCGAGGCCCATCCCGGTGAGGGGCAAGTAACGCGCGCTCGTGGATGACGCGGTTACTGTTCGCCGTAGTCCGCTCCGCCTGCGCCTCGATCCTGTCCACGAATTGCTCGTGGACCACCCAGGTCAGAGCGTGCATCTCGATGGGATGGAAATGGGGCTCTGACTTGAGCGTTGCCCTTTCATCGGAATCGAAGCTGTTCCAAATGCCAGGATACGTGTCGATCAAAGGGATCAGACAGTAGTACAGCTCCTCCGTAGGCCGGGCGGAACGGGTCGTTATCTGGGCATGCTGGTGCCGGCGGTGCTGGTGGCGGCTCGCCTGTCGTGCCAGGGATGGGACGAGGCTGCTGGGCCTGCTCGCCAGCGGGCGTTGCCACCGGCGTGGATTGTGGTTAATCGCCGTTCGCACATGAAGCCATCCGAGCGCAGCGGGCCAGCTCTCCAGCGGCCTGATTCTTCAGCGTAGTAAGACAGTAACCGCTTCCATTCGTCGGTAATCTTGTTGCGGAAGTCGAGGACCGCCAATATTTCCTCGGCCCGAGTGCGCGCCTGGAAGTCCGTCGCGGACCTCAGGAGAGGCGGTCGAAACGGATACGGCTGAGAAAGCAATGATTGGATGACGGCGCAGAGGTTGAGGTAGCAAACCGCGTCGTTGAACTGCGTAGTCATCATCGCCATGTAATGATTGTTCTGTTTGGCGTGCCAAGCTGTCGGAGATATCCTGTCGTAGGAGTCGATCCACTGGTCTGCGGGAACCACGACGATACCCCTGGCTTTCATGTGACGCGTAAGGTCAGAGGTCAAGTAGTCGAAGTTGGGACGTAAGCCACACTGTTTTGACAGACCTGGACCCATGACCGTAGGGCATCGAAAATACTGCATCACGTCAATAAGCCGTGAGACGTCGACTTTCACGTGTGCAGGCAGGTGCTCCGGGACGCCGGACTCGCACCTGATGTAGTTGTCATTGTTGCGTCCGGTCTTGTTTGGAGCCCGATCAACCTGACGTCGAAGGTCCAGCCACTGTGCGTCGTTGTCGGCGTAGCCGATGCCATTGGCGCTCCAGACGACGAAAGCGTCGAGGCCCCTGCAATAGTGCCTTTGCTTCACGCACGCCGGGAACACTTTGCTCCAAAAACTCCAAATCTCCTCTACTCCGGCCGAGCGGCGTGCTGGGGGGCGACTATTTCAGACGACTGCCCCCTGCCGCCGGAAGCGGGCGGCTGCCAAGCTGGACAGCAAAGGAGGGGTGCACTGGGGGGATGCATCTGCGGCCGTCCCCTTGTCACCGAGAGAGAATAGCTGTCACCGTGGGACAGCAAAGCAGGCGGCCCCGGGACCCGTGAGGCCTGCGGGCTAGCCCCCGTCTGCTGAGGGGGGGTGAGATGTCCAGGCAAGGTCCGCTTCTCCAGTGTGGGCTGTCTAGCTATGCTGCGCCAGGGGTGAGATGCGGGGAGGCCCCCGCCCCAGCGGGAATTACCCCAGGGCATTACGGCCGAGGCCGGGTGCTGCGAGGTGAAAGTACACCCAGCGGGGAGAGGCGCGGGCGACGTGTGGGGGGGGGGTCGCAGGCGACGGGCCGGGAGTGCAGGGGGCGCGCTGTCAGGCCAGCCCGACCCTGCTAGCCCTGGGCGTGCTAGTCCTCCCTGTCCCACCATCGTGCGCGCTTGTCTGTGTATCGATCGTCTCCCCTTGGGAAGTAGCGCTTACCTTTCCCTTTCCAGTCCGTTTCCGTCCACGGTGCTTTCTGGTGGCTCCAGGAATTCCACTCCTGCCATCCCTGCCACCGGGTGGGGGTGGCAGAGCCGACGGCACCTGCCCAGCGACCCTGCACGGCTGCCGCCGCGGCTGCCCTGCCTTCTGCTGTCCATGGGGCGGGTCCACTGCTGCTGTCGGGTCCGCGTTGAGCGTGGGTTTTGGGTTCGCGTTGGAGGAGCTTCATGTGCTTGTCCTTGACCGACGGCCAGTGGACGTTGAACCCTAGGTCACTGTCCATCTTGTAGGCGTCGTAGCCTGCGCTGCCCCACGCCTGGGTGCATTCGTTGCACGACTGAACCGTGTTCCGATTAGGGTCGTGCTTTTCGCTTCCGTTGGTCCCCTGCCTCATGGCAGCCTTCTTCACCCATGCGGCCCAAACTCCATTGAACGCTCCTCCCAGCGTCTTTTGCAGGCGTATTATCTTATCCTGCACGGGTTCATCCTTCGTAACGTCCGCATCGGTGACAGGGCACATGTACATGGGGATGCCCCCCATGGGATCGCTTGGGTCGCCTCGGGGTGGCTGCGTGGCCCTTACGTCCCTCCAGGGCGCCTCGGAAATGTGTATCCGCGCTGGGTCGCCTCTTGGGGATTTGGTGGCACGGCCATCTCCGTCCTTGGTGTCTTCCCACACGGGTCGCTGGCGGCCCTTGTCACCGCTCGCGCGGCTGAGGGTTCGGTCATCCGTAGCGTCGTTGATGCTCCAGGCTGCGCTGTCTGCTCTTTGTGGGCTGTCTCGCGCGCTCCTGACTACACGGATGGCGTTCCTATCAACGATCCGATCGTATGGGGACCAGGCGTCGGGCCTGTTGGGTGGTTCCAGGAAGAGCTTGAGGGGGTCAGGGCTGTCCTCTTTTTCTTCGTCTGCCACCGGGGTTGGGCTGAGCTCCGGGCTCGGGTCCTTGGCGGTGTCGGATTCGCTTTTCTTGCCCCCTTCCCCTCCCCAATCGATCCCATCTGGTTCGCCTTCGATATTGCTTGCCTGGCCGGTTGGAGCCCTCCCCTCCCTGACTCCGGATCCGCCCTACTTTGGGGAAATTCGTAAGTAGGGCTTGGAATTTCCGCCTTACTTTTCAAGCCCCGCTGATGCCAATTTCCGCCCTACTTTTCTGTTGCTGTTTCTGTGGATTTCCGCCCTATTTTGTGTTGGGTGCAGCAATTTCCGCCCTACTTTTTCGGCCTCTCATAGGTGGATTTCCGACGCAATTTTAAGTTGGAAAAAAAGCCAAAGTAGAGCGGATCTGGAGTCAGGGCTCTGCCTGTGGGTCGCGTCCCCCGTCTGCACCAGTGGCGGGGGGTGTCGCTCTGGGAGCACGGGCAGAGGTGTCCTCCTGTGCAGGTCCAATGCTGTCTGCTGGGGGGGAGGCGGGGGGGGGGCCTCGGTTTCGACGGCTCTGTTCAGCCAGGTCGCTGCTGGGGAATCACCCGCCGCTGAGGGGCCTGCGGCCGCCCCCCCAGGATGCCCGGGAAATCCCGGGAAACGACTCTCGCTGAGGCGCCGGCGTCATTTTTTCCCAATAATTATGCTGCTCTCGTTGAGGCGCCGGCCTCATTTCTGCTCCCGAATCGTTCCGAATCGGCGTCCTGGCCGCGCACCCTCCGCGTACTGTTACCTAACAGCTTTTGCTGATAGGTTTCTAGTAGGGTCAACAGGGAGCATCATGACTCCTCAGGGGGGTCTGGGCGGGTGCCGGGGAGGAGAACCGGGAATCGTTTTTCGCCAACAGTCACACACTTCGTGCTCTTCGACCTCCCAGAACTCCATTCCCGGGCCACATTCTGGGGAACCGGGAACAGAGCCGGGCTCGCTTTTCGCCAACAGTCACACACTTCGTGCTCTTCGACCTCCCAGAACTCCATTCCCGAGCCACATTCTGGAGAACCGGGAACAAAGCCGGGCTCGTTTCTCGTCAACAGTCACACACTTCGTGCTCTTCGATTGCCCAGAACTCCACTCCCGGGCTACATTTTGAGTGCCCGGAGCCAACTGTAGGCCACTTCGTGCTCTTCGATTGCCCAGAACTCCATTCCCGGGCCACATTTTGGATGCCCGGAGCCAACTGTAGGCCACTTCGTGCTCTTCAAGTTCCCAGAACTCCATTCCTGGGCATGATTTTGAATGCCCGGAGCCAACTGTAGGCCACTTCGTGTTCTTCTAGTTCCCAGAACTCCATTCCTGGGCCACATTTTGAATGCTGAGGCAGGCTGATGCTGCGGCCGAGGCAGGCTGGCTGAGGCAGGCTGAGGCTGAGGCCGAGGCTGAAGGCAGACTGAGGCTGAGGCTGAAGCAGACTGAGGCTGAGGCTGAGGCAGGCTGAGGCTGAGGCTGAAGCAGGCTGATGCTGAGGCAGGCTGAGGCTGAGGCTGAGGCTGATGCAGGCTGAGGCTGAGGCAGGCTGAGGCTGAGGCCGAGGCTGAAGGCAGACTGAGGCTGAGGCTGAAGCAGGCTGAGGCTGAGGCTGAGGCAGGCTGAGGCTGAGGCAGGCTGAGGCTGAGGCTGTGACTGCGACTGCCGTTGCCGCTGCGACCGTCATCGCGAATGCGACTACGACTGCGAGAACAGCAGAACTCTACAACTGGATTTTCATCTGACTCTTAAGGGGAATGCTTTCAGATATGCTTTTACATATCGCTGTTAAGTTGCTTGGCCGGGATAATTTTTTTACACGCAGGATGCCCGGGAAATCCCGGGAAACGACTCTCGCTGAGGCGCCGGCGTCATTTTTCCCCAAAATGCTGCTCTCATTGAGGCGCCGGCCTCATTTCTGCTCCCGACTCGTTCCGAATCGTGCTCCCGCTGCAGCGTGGGCCTCATTTTCGGATCGGTGTTTGGCCTCCGTCGTTCAGGATGGCGTTCTCGCCCCAGCGCGGGCCTTTTTCTCGCGCGCCCATCCGCCCACCACCACCGCGCCGCACCGCCACCACCACCACCACCACCACCACCACCACCACCACCACCACCACCACCACCACCACCACCACCACCACCACCACCACCACCACCACCACCACCA